TTGGTCTTTGGTCTTTTAATTGTGATGATTTTGGCTCACATTTAACAAAAACCCACCAATTCACTATCTCAACAAATTAGAATATGGTGACATGCCAATCGGCTAATCAACTCAAAACACCTGCAAAGGTTTCCTGAGCCTTCAAAATGGTCTCTCAGTTTGGTTCACTACGCTACACAATCATGGGGAAGACTGCTGATCTTACAGTTGTCCAGAAGACAATCATTGACACCCTTCACAAGGAGGGTAAGCCACAAACATTCATTGCCAAAGAAGCTGGCTGTTCACAGAGTGCTGTATCCAAGCATGTTAACAGAAAGTTGAGTGGAAGGAAAAAGTGTGGAAGAAAAACATGCACAACCAACCGAGAGAACCGCAGCCTTATGAGGGCATAAAATGTATAGGGAAAAATGTGTGTATATACACTACCCCAAAAGGTTTTAAACAGTAAGATTTTTTATGTTTTTAAATAAGTCTCTTCTGATCACCAAGCCTGCATTTATTTGATCAGCAAAAACAGTAAATTTTTAAAATGTTTACTATTTGAATATGTTTTTTTATGTAATTTATTCCTGTGATTTCAAAGCTGAATTATTAGCATCATTACTCCAGTCACATGATCCTTCAGAGATCATTCTAATATTCTGATTTGCTGTTTAAAAACATTTATTATTATTATTATTATTATGTTGAAAACAGCTGAGTAGATTTTTTCAGGTTTCTTTGATGAATAGAAAGTTCAAAAGAACAGCATTTATCTGAAATAGAAATCTTCTGTAACACTATAAATGTCTTTATCATCACTTTTGATCAGTTTAAAGCATCCTTGCTAAATAAAAGTATTAATTTCTATAACCCCCCCCCCCCCCTTTTTTTTTTATAAATTAGTGACTCCAAGCTATTGAATGGTATAGTGAATAATGTTACAAAAGCTTTTTATTTCAGATAAATGCTGATCTTTGGATCTTTCTATTCATCAAAGAATCCAGAAAAAAGTGTACTCAACTGTTTTAAATATTGGTATTATAATAATAATAATAAAATTCTTGAACAGCAAATCGATATATTAGAATGATTTCTGAAGGATCATGTGACACTGAAGACTGGAGTAATGATGCTGAAAATTCAGCATTGCATCACAGGAATAAATTACATTTTAAAATATATTCAAATTGAAAGCAGTTCTTTTAAGTAGCAAAATATTTCACAATATTGCCGCTTTTACTGTATTTTGGATCAAATAAATGCAGGCTTGGTGAGCAGAAGAGAATTGTTTATAAACGTTAAAAATCTTACTGTTCAAAAACTTTTGACTGGTGTATATTTCCCTATATATATATATATATGCCTTTTGAGGAAAATTTCCAGTGCGGGGAATGTGGAATAATTGCATCAGCCGTCATTGATTCATGGGGGAGTTTTTGTTTAATTATGTGTTTGAAAGGAGCATGATGGGCATGAAGAAAATTGCATTAGCCTACTAAATATACATTGCATAAAACTATACAGGGATTTATTTATTTATTTATTTATACGTGTGTGTGTGTGTGAACCTTTCCTAATGCTCTTTTCACATAACATAGTTAAACAAAAACTCCCTCCTGGATCAATGACGGCTGATGCAATTATTCCACACTCCCCGCACTGGAAAAATTCCTTGAAAAGGAAATCCTAATGCTCTTTTCACATAACATAGTTAAACAAAAACTCCCTCCTGGATCAATGACGGCTGATGCTATTATTCCACACTCCCCGCACTGGAAAAATTCCTTGAAAAGGAAAATATTTTACTGGCACTTGACGCTCCAAGTCCTCCCTGTGCTTTGTTATGTTATCTTTTTCTGTCCAGCACTGCTATATGTGTGTCCGTGTGGGCTCTTACACTCCAGCGGCTGTGTGTTTTTGTGTGTGTGTGTGTGTGCTCAGAGCACACACCGTCAGCCCTGTCACTGTTTGCCGTTTAGCACTCTGTGTGAGATCAATGAATGGTAAACACTCACAACTCTGTGAGTCCCCAATCAGTAATTGAGTAGGTCTTCTGAGCTGATCCGTTGTCCTCCCTCACATCCCTGTCCTTATCGCTCCATCTTTCCCTCACATTTCCTTCCCACAGGGAGCAAGACAATCTCGGGCTCCCTTTTTTTTAGACCGCTGGAATCGATCACAATTGGAAGTATTATATTGTTTGAATTATAAAAGCAGGATTTTGATGCTTGGATATTTCAGCACTCGCTGTGAATGCAATTCAAAATGCATTTCGCTTCTGCCGCCGGCCTCTATTTTAGTCCTATAGATTTATTCCTTTTCCCCCGTCTCATCCCATCACCCCGAGATCAGTCACCGTGGCCTCCAGCTCCCCACGGCATCAATCGATTAATTGATTTCGGAATCAATTAATTGAGCCATTAAGGCAGCCGTATGCACAGAGCATGAAATGAGATCTTTAAAATGGCACATATGGCCGCCGACCATGCTGTGCCTCAACCTAAAGACCCGCTGCATTCCTTCCTATAAATTTATTGAAAGAGCAGTAAATGAAAAAGCATATTCCCAATTATAACACCCCAGTTGTCTCTTCCGCAGAGGCCCGCTTGCCTCACAACGCCATTAAACCCAGCCTCTCGCAATAGGAAAAGTGCAATTTTGTTAAAGCAATAAAGACGGCGCACATCTTGTCAGTTTTACATTGGATGGTTTACTACACTGCTTTAGCGTTTTATCTTCCGTTTTTCTTTGTTCTCTGCCTTGAGGAGTGGGTGTTCTTTTGTTTATGACTTGTAATAACACAAGACAGATTTTTTTTCCCTTCCACTTCTGCAGCCTTTCATGTATTGAAAGACTAGTATTTTTCAAGAGCTCTCTCTTATGTTTTTCCCCCCACCTTTGCGTTTCAGTCGGGTGAGTATATCATGCCGCTTGTACAAACATTATGATGACACGATATTCATATTTACGGTCCCAGTGAGCCGTTCTTTATTCTTCATTTGAGCTTTGCTTTTTTCACTCTTTCTGTTGTCGCTTTTGTCGGAGTCGCCCTGAGCACTGCCTGATTTAAATAACAGTGCCAAACGCGCACAGACGCACGGTCCGTTCCGTTGCCAGTAATTCCAGTGAAGCTTGCTTTAACAGTCCTGAGCATCTGTAATGTCAGAGAGACAGTTGTTACATTGGGACTCAGTCATTCTTTTGTTCCAGACAATATGATTTTCAGAGCGCTTGAAGCATGACAGGACAGCTGCAGCAAGCAGAAAGTTGAAAAAATATCTCTGGGCATAACTGCAGGCTCGACGCAGAGCCTCCGCTCCCCTTTCTCAAGCGCCACAAAGGAAAATAAATGCACATATATTCACATACATACAACACACATAATGGGTGAATTACATTCAAGTGAGCACCACTATGGCCTCACTCCAAAGGGCAGAACACTTGAAGTCAAGTTTGGTGTAGTGAGAATGCACATTCATGAGAGCAGAATCATTCATTGTGAATGAATCATTCTTTTGAACTGGATCTTTTTAATGAATAAATTGATTCAGTTCTCAAAATTGACCTGAAGGATTCATTTATGAATTCTTAAATGATTAATTCTCAAGTTCAACTCACTGATTCACATCTGGTTAACATCTCACTGAAGGAGAATATTAGAGTATTATATAGAATATTATATTCTACTTATTATACAGTAAATTATAATGTAATTTTAATAATATTATTAGTGAATAACGGCTTACATTTTTATCTGTTCATCACACATAAAGTAAGACTTTAAAAGACTTCAAATGTACACTGCCATTCAAAAGTTTGGGAAATTAACTTTTGGGAAAGGGCACATTAAATTGATTAAAAGTAAAGACTTTGTTAAAAATAAATAAAAAAAATTGTGTATAATTTAATTAAAGAATCCTTTAAGCAATGTCACATTTTCTGTTTTCAGCATTGATAATAAGAAAAATGTTTATTAGAATGATTTCTGAAGGATCACTGACACTGAAGACACTGAAGACTGGAGTAATGATGCTAGTAATGATAAAAATTCAGCTTTGCATCACAGGAATTAATTACATTTTAAAACATATTAAAATAGAAAACAGATATTTTAAAGTTTAATAATATTTCATAATAGTACAGTTTTTACTATTCTTTTTTTTTCAAACAGATTAAGTCTTGTTGAGCATAAGAGAATTCTTTAAAACTCTTTGTAAGGATGCTTCATTAAAAGCTTCATTATTAAAAAAATGATTCATTTGAAAGTATGATTTGGAACAACATGAGAGCGAGTAAACGGTAGCAGAATTGTAATTTTTGGTTGAACTGTCCCTTTAGGGGCACAAAAATGCCATTTGGAAGTCGCCCACTGACACACAAACGTACACATGGGAGAAAAATAGAAAGCAAAGTCTCTCGCTGAAATACTCTCTCTAGCTAAGTCATACAAATACAGTGAGACAGAGAAACACACACACACTCAGGGCTAGGCCGCTTTCTCTCCCAGGCAGCAGTCCAGACTGAGAGGCACACAGTCGAAAGGAGCAGCCAGCAGTCATGCGTGGCCAGAGAGAGTGAGAGAAAGCAAGATATAGTGAAGCAGCCATGCCATATTTCACCCACGGCCCCGACCCCAGCACACACTGCATTACAAACTACGCCTCAAACGTGCGTGTGTGTGTGTGTGTGTGTGTGTGTGTGTGCTCTCTACATATGGTTTTCATATCTGCCTGAGAAAGGGAGGCAGAAACAGGTGGTATAAGTTTTCACCAGTTATATTGTTAAAACAAGGCTTTGCGTCTGGCACCCCGGGAACGCCTGGAGGTGCAGGCACGCCAGACTATACCTCCTGACTGCAGTGCCACGATGGACCAAGTCGAAAAACATATCAGTGGTGCGGTCAACACCTGTGTACAAAGACAGCTGCTTTTCTGCAACTGTTTCTTTATAGTTGGCGCATCAAAATTTGCCAGACTTACTGATATTCCCTGATTTCTTTTCCTTTTTTCCCACAGCAGACAGACGATTCAGCACAGACAGACAGCCAACAGCAAACACAGTCATCTGAAAACACAGAAAACAAAACACAGCCCAAGAGGCTCCACGTCTCCAACATCCCCTTCAGGTTCAGAGATCCAGACCTCAGGCAAATGTTTGGCGTAAGTACCTGTTATATCTCTTTCTTTCTATTACTTTTATGGCATACAGCATACAGTGGCCACGCCAGCACAAGTGTAGCTAGGGTCTGAGGTGTGTGCTAACACACTGTTCCCCTGCTTGTCGGATGGTATTTGAAGATTGGGTAATATCTGGGATCTGGGTCAGCACCTTGTTTTGGTTCTTAGCTTCTTAAAGGAAGCAGCAGGGTTGCTTCACTGGTGTAACAGGGCATAACAGAATGATTTATTTGAATACAGAATGTATGTGTATATATGAATGCATATATAATATATATGTAGTATATAGTATGTGTGTGTGTGTGTGTGTGTGTGTGTGTGTGTGTGTGTGTGTGTATGTATGTATGTATGGATAGATAGATAGATAGATGGAAGGATATATTAATATGAGAAACATGAACAAGAAATATTAATTTTCAGGCAAAATGAAAAGTTTCTTTCTTTAACCAAGTTGACTCCACATGCAGAGTCAAAGCATATGTAATGTGCTCTTAGTAATAGTGAATATAATAATCCTATTAATGACAAGTGAGATATTGTACATTGTAACTAGCAGCAATAATGGCAACAGTACTCTTTTTCTTTTTTTAAGTGTTTGTTCAACTTCTTCAATGTCACAGCAGTTGCATTTATTAAGCAGCAAATCCGCATATTAGAATGATTAGAATTATTTTTAAATGTATAAAAATACAAAACAGTTATTTGTATATATATAGACAGTTATAGACTTTATAGTTATTTTAACAGATATATTTCACAATGCCACAATTTTACTGTATTTTTAATCAAAAATTATTTTGTTAAACAAAAGAAATGTCTTAAAAAAAATATACTATATATATATTTTTTTTTTTTATAAGAATTTTTGAGTGAAAGAAAGAAAGAAATACTAATATTCCACAAATTGATCTAATGTGACAATATTTTTTTTTTAAAGTGTTACAGTACATTTCTATTATAAAAATACAATTTGTTCTTCATGTTTATTAAACAATCCTGAGAAAATGATCACTGTTTCCACATAAATATTAAGTGGCACAACTGTTTCCAACATTGATAATAATAAAAAAATATATATATATGTATATATATATATATATATATATATATATATATATATATATATATATTTATAAAACAAAAAACACAC